TAAGAAATCGAGAGTTTTCAATTTAATAGTTCTAAAAAGTTAATGTATAAATGTACTATTACTGAATGAGACTGATGATAAATTGCAGAAATGTGTAAATATCTAGACTAGACACAATAGACAATTTTGTTATTGTATTATTTTAATACAATATAATATTATTGTAAATGTCACATTTGCATATATATACACTTACTTAACTATGTGTTATTTATTATAAGTAATTTATATTAAGTCTGAAATATGGATACGTAAAATAAAATAAGTTTAAAGATTAAAAATGTATGGATTATGTATGCAATTTATTGATATTAATTGATAGTAAATACGTAATCATCTCAATGATTTGTTTGACAAAATTTGGCTAAAGTTTTAAGTTGTACCTAATATCTAAGCTTCCAAAAAGAATTGATCAGTTGAAACGAGTACTACCATGTATAAGTATATTTTTTTGAGGCGATGCATTAGTTTTTGTTTGATGCCTGAACAAACTAATAGAAAGACGAACAAAAATTCTTAAAATGATTCTTTTTTTTGCTTTCTTACCAAGACTCTTTATACATTCTTTCTTCATATAATTTTTTATTTTAGTAAAAAAAAAATAAAAATGGACATTAAAAAATAAGTTATTAGTAGAATATTATTATTGCTAATAATAATAACAATGTAGTATACATTTAAATCTTTAAAGAATAAAAACATATTAAGACCAAAACTTTGGAGATTATAAACGATCTAGTGTAAATTGAATTCACTGGCAATTATACACGGAATGTATAATAAAATAATTGATAAATAGGTTTTAATTTCCTTTTTATAAAAGAAAAACTTGAATTATATATATTATGCTTACAATACAGTAAATCTAAACTTATATTAAATAAATAATGTGTAAAATAAATTAATGAAATAGTAAAAAAGTGTTAATATTACTTAAAATTAATAGATTGATAAAATCAAAATTACCTTCACGTCCCGTACTTGATCATACAACCCTTGCAGCATTTTTTTTTTATACAACATAGCATGGCAAACAAGCTGACGGCCCACCTGATGGAAAGTGGTAACCGTCGCCTATAGACATGAGCATGAATGGGACAGAGGTACCTAAGCAATTGACTTTTGTACAAAGTCTCCCTCTGGTCACGTTGGATTGCTAAAGGTATCCTCTGAGTTAGATATGAACCGACATATATATATATATATATATATATATATATATATATATATCTATATATATAATTACATAGTTTAGATTTTTATTTTCCCAAACTTTAGTTATAAGGAGTGAGTAGTATTTTGCATCACATTTTATGATATAACTCAAAAATTACGCAGCAGTAAAATAAATACAAATGAAGACCTTTCATATGGTACTCTATTTAGACTAGTATATTAATTTAAAAAAAATATATATCTTTTTTTTGAGATCCACTAGAGAAGAAAATAAAAATATTTTCAATTATTTCTATTGCAATATGTGTAGGCCAAAAATACTATCCTAAATTTTAAATTGATAGTATTAGTAGTTGCTGATATATAACAGCTATGACAGACAGATGGAGGGACGAACAAAGTTGCACCATAATATTATAGTTTCTTTCTACCTTTTTGATACGGAACCCTAAAAAGGTATGCAGCATTCAGGAACTGACCGACCGAAGTGAAATTTCTTTACACGACAACTTTACATGGCAACGATGGTCTGGTTTGACTATCTTAGCAGTAAAGCAGTTTAACTCATCATCTCTACCAACATCCAATGGTTGTTCATATTCGCGGAATATGAACAATGGTACTCAATTTGTTATGATTTAAGTAACTGGCGTAGTCTGAAGGATAAGCAAGCTGATCTGGCTGGGCACATGGGCTATGTGGACACAATGGGCTGGTGACATAGCTTAAGAACCGAAATCTATGTAGATGAAAGGTTCTTGAGCGGCGACCTCGTACATGCAAACAGTGTAGGATGATCCCCCATTAAATGGAGTAATGACATCAAAATGACTACATTTTAACTGTATGGTTTTATAATTACATAGTTAAACCTATATTTTATACACAGCTATTTTGATTTACTGCAATTCACGGCACGTTGCTATATGCATTTTTTTGTCAGTCACGAAATACTTTTTAAAAAATATTCAATATTAGAAGGAGATTTCCAATTCAAGGAAATTTATTTTTCACGTATGCCATATAATAATTTAATGATATTTCATTATTCATAAAACGCATTTCGCTGACCGTTGATTTGTTCAATTAACATCAGAATAAAAAGAAGTGAAATTATTAATGAAGTCATGAATGAAATAGCTGTTTTTTCTGCGAAGCAAAATATTCTCGTTGCGAGTTTACAACCGTGTTTTTATATATTATGATAATTTAGGATATTTGTTTATTTATAATAACATAACCTATCACACAGAAACATAATTACTAATAAATGTAGATTAAATTAAAATTGAATTAGTTATATTATACAATTTTAATGATAAAAATTATTAAATTTGAATAATCTTTAATCATTTTTAAAATTTAAATTAAATAAGAATTTAAATTTCTCAATGTTTAAATAATTATTAAAATATGATTTTAAAAATATATGTTTGAATATCCTCATATCAGTCGTTAACTGTCCACTGAAGAACATAGGCCTTGGAGGCGTTTTGTCAGTAGCTACCATGCTTGGCAAGCTGGTTATCAATCGCAGATATACTTTAGCAATGTTTTAAGAAGGACGCTGCTGCCCATCTCTCGTTCATTAAATTTTCTTAGCCGCTTCTTACGACACCCACGGGAAATGAAGGGGGTGGCCAATTTATGCCGCGACTACACGGCTTATTTGAATATAATATTTATTAATAAAGTTACTTTAAGAGATAATATAAACACACGATATGTCTAAATAATATCCAACTGTTAGTTCCCTTTAATTTTTCTAATTTTAGAAAATGTAGCATTGCTTATGACTTCATTTGCGGGATATTTTTATACTTGGTTTGATGAAGGTCTATAAATATTTAAACTAAGTACGTAGTAAAAATAACAGTAAATATATCTGTGTATTTTGTAAATTTGACCAAAGTTGTCCGTTAACGAATGAATAAATGTTGTTTTCACCACAATATAATTAAAAATAGTAGTCCCACAAAAAGAAATTTATTTCGACATTAATTGTGATAAAACAAGTTACTTTGATTTAAAAACTAAACTATTAAATCGATTTTGATAAAATATCTATGACAGCAGTCTGTAAGAATAATTTTTTAGATAGATGAGAATCCCTCTTTTTGAGGTCGGTTAAAAAACCGTCACTGTAGACACAAATAGCACTGACTGCCCCGTTAAGGAACATTCGTGAACAAATTTGTTTTATCGTATATTTATCGTATTACGTGTTTTTGTTTCAAATAAAAGTTACTTTATTTGAATGTTTGTATAATAGTTCAGTCTCGCTTAAATTGCTGAACAGATCTGAATGAAGTTCGGTATTGGAAAGGCTACGAGACACTGGTGTTTATATAAATAAAAGTTAATGTTATTTGAATAAAAGATCATAAGTTATTTTTAAACATTTATATATACAATTATTTTTAATATTATTTGCCATCTGGCAAGCTTCTTTATTTAGTCAATATAGTAATAACATTAAAATCATTAGAGACTACAATTATTAGTCATAGAATTAGCACGTAAATATACGTATAAAAGTATAGTATAGTATAGTAGCGAATATTATGGTAGGTTAGTATCATTGTCTTTTCAGTGATTTGTTTATTCTTTATTGATCATGTGGTTAACATTGATTTTGAATAGATTTATTTTGATAAGCATGGATCATTACGAACTACCACTGCAGAGATGAACAGTAATTAGATAAAGGGATGAAGATCGTTTGTAAATAATGGATGTTTGAATGTTTGTTACTTAATAATGCTTAAATGGCTGAATGGATTTAAATGAAATTTGGTACACAGATACCCTGGATTAACAGATTATATTATTGTACGCAGAAAAGCCATGTGTTACAGATGCTTGAGAGCGATATTTATATTGCAGAAATGATGAGACTTATTATTCACGTTTATAACAGTCATTTACTTTGACATTATTTAGGACAGCTGTTTTTAATTATGCAAATTATGTGAAGGAAATCGCTGGAAACAGTAATAACTGTTATAAGTTTGAAAGTTCATAACAAGGTTTGAACGACGACTAGGTGTCGGGATGTATGTTACTCAAACGAAACGAACAAACTACGGACCATATTTTGGTTAATGCATTATATGTATGCATAATATTTGTTATATTAATTTACAGCAAAATGAAATTTTGTAAAAGAGGTATGCCTTTCATATTTTTTTTTTTACATAGTAGTAATATGACTTTTATGTATGATGATCTATCTTAAATATTTATAAAGCATATTAGTTAAGTATTTAGATTCAAAGTTGTGTCTAATTTGTCTGTTTACAAGGCGATAAATTAATTATTAATTATTAATATATATATATATATATATATATAAGGTAATCAACAAAATCAGGAAACTTTTTACTACAATATGGTACAAATAGTTTCTAATAATAATCTAATCTAATAATAAATCTCATAGTACATTAATATAATAAAGTTAATTGAACATTTCAATTACGTATTATTCTTGAAACACTTGTAATGCTGAATTGTATAGACACAAGGTTTTTTTTTTCATTATAAAGTATTATTTGCTTTTCATATATTGTGTAGAAAACAAACATTATGCAAAAGAAGCGATGTGTCTGGTACTGACAAATTTATTGAATAAATATTATTTATATTGAATAATAAGAAAAGGTACCTAATTGTTTTTATGACAATAGTACTATATATTATACTTGTGTATAATAATATTATACTGATTTTATCTATAAGCGACGGCTATCACTTTCTATCAAGTGAGCCATCAGCTTGTTTGCCATTGCGAGATATATAAATAGAAAAAATTTGAAACTTACTAGGACATAATTGTTTTATAAAATATGTACTTCTTGTTCTTAAAGATATAATCACGGTTATTAGTCACTAGTTATAATTATCATTTCCTTCACTTCTATAAATTTTAGTGCAATGTCACGGCACATGATTTTAGATGGTTATGAAAGTTTATAGAACACACTATATACGATAAAAATTTAAATATTCTAGCTCACTTTAAACACGATTTGTTGCACTGAAAATTTGAAGTTACAACAGCTAAGTTAAAAACGAATGCGCGGCTCGTCGGTGAGTGACACGACGCCGCAATAGCTTCGTGGCACAGACGTCCGGTACTCGCGGTTTCATCTCGTCGACTATTGAATTCGGTCCAATACTGATTTAATGATCATGAAAATATTCCATTAAATCACTATCCTGTCATCCCTTATATTTTCTTCGTGGAATTGTATAGTATATATTTTAGAGTTATTCGGATATTGTACTCGTTTATTTAGACTTTATATTAGCTTCGTTAAACTTCAGAGGTCATTGGTCCGATTCTGCGAAAAAGTAATAGGTAATCGAGATTTTAATAAAACCATTCGGCATTATAAAAATGCTGTACACAAAATATGCATATAATGGTACATTCATTTATATTTATTTTATTTTTGCAATGTATCAAATAAAATGCTGTATTTGTTTGTATAGCAACAGAATAGGACAGTTTGCATTATATATGTATATCAAAGCGTGCAAAATGCATGTGGTAATGTTTTCCGTGACTGGTCTGAAGACGGTGATTATCTATCTTATCTTCCTATTATTTTATGCTATGTAATGTATGGGTTGTATCATAGATGTCGGATTAATTAGATATGTATCTGCAGGAACTTTTCGTGTTCAATTGTTGGCCTTCATTTTATATAAGAAAATATCTCAAAAAAACTTACTTGACTTTGGTTAAATAAATTCGTCATTTCGATTTTAAATGTTTATTGAATTATGTTTAGAATACAACATTACCGATGGTGTTTATAAAACGTTTTGGTGCAGGACGGTTTACTTTTTATAGCGCAGGGAGTAAACCAATAAGTATACGGCTCATCTGTTAGTCAGTGACCACAAAAAGTTGCAATCTATATAGCTTTTGTAACATCAAGACGAGTAATTTAGTTGTGACACGCTCAGTTTTCACATAAATTGAGGCACTTGCGTCGTCTACTTCTATGATTATGTTACGGTCTGAAGGGTAAGATAACCAGTACAATATAAACACAAGAGTTATAGTGCCGTAGTCATCAAGAATGATAATCAAATGAAGAAGGGTTGCTTTGAGCCTCAATACCTAATATTATGGGATGGTCTCCTACCACTGTACATCAGGCGGGCTATCAACGATCTAAATTGCCGTTCTCTATCGCTATCCTTATTATACTATACATAATTAAATAAAAACAGTATTTTGACAACAATAGAAATAGTATTTATTGAAGTGTCCTGAAATATTTGTATATTATAAACAAATAGGCTTACTTTTTATATTCTATATTTTACGAATACTCAAAAATGTATCTTTTGTTTATACAAATATTTTCTATTTTAAATTCTATTACTTTCATTGAAGTATAATTAATTCTAATTTTTGTTTTATTTCTTATTAATTATAAGCAGCTTTGCCTACGTGAATTAAGATAAAAAAATATTCCATATGCTAATCTTGGAAATGTTCTATCTGTAGGTATATTAAATGCTTAGATTATAATTATTATTCAAATTTGTTCAGTAACAAACATCCAAAAACTTTACAAACTTTTTCCCGTGATTTTATATATTAATTTAGTATATTAATAGTGAATTGATATTTAATTAGCATGTCTGTCCCATTCGTGTTTCAACCGTGAAGCAGTTGTGTTTGCATGGCTGTGTTTCGGTTTGAAGGGCGGGATATGGCGTGAATTTACTGGGTACAAAGGAATAACACTTGAATCCTTAGGAATAGCAACGCATGGGAGGTATCATGGGCGAAACAGTATACTCTGTTATGTCCATGGTACTGCTCATGTTTATAGGCGACGGTGTCTATATGCATTTACTCAGTCATTAAGCAACAAACATCGAAAATATTGTAAAGTAAATGCAATATCGTTATTATGTATGTATTGTTTGTCAAGTACGAGACGTGAAGGTAATTTTGATCATTTAAGGCTGATAATTTAATTAATATTTAATTTTAAGTAATATTAATTTTTTTTTACTATTTAATTAATTTATTTTACATATTATTTATTTAATATAAGTTTAGATTTACTGTATTTTATGAATTATAAGTTAATTATAAAAAATAATTCAAGTTTTTCTTTTGTAATTATAAGTTGTATATTGTGTAAATGAAAATCAGGATTTTTGTAACGTAGCGTCTAACGTCTCAGACTTTAATAATCTTAACGCAGAAGTAACGCTAAATATCTACTAGCCTGTTCAAAATGAGACAATTTGTGAACAGTTTTTCTTTATGTTTGTTTCATTTGGCTATCTCGTCAGCTTTTAGTTCTGATGAAGGATAATTCTTAGAATAAAAATCCTAAAATAACATGGTCCAATGCATACATGTTGTGCAAATAAGTAAAATTTAGTCTGTGTGAGCCTTGAAACTTAATTTATACACGGAGATATTATTCTAACGATCAGCATTTGATCTTTAAGATCAATCGATGAATCTTATATGTATGTGTGGCAATGTCATATTAAAGACTGATATTTAAGATTATTGTTTATTTTGATTGATCATAGCATAAATCTCTCTGTGTATGACGGCATTACAATTCTGGAAGGATAAAATAGTTATTTTATCCAAATCAGAACAATGTTAAGAATTAATAGTACTTTAAAAACAATTATTACTACGGAATTATTATAAACAAACGGCTTTTTCTTTGAATGTTCAGTCTGTATTCGTAAAAGAAAACATGAATATTGGGTTACTATTAAGTTAATGAGAATGATGACCCTCGGATATTTAGGGATTATATTCATGAGCATATTTATATTATATTCATTGCTGATTCTAGCTTTTACCCGCAACTTCGTCCGCGTGACCGGAATATGTTCACTGAACGAGATAAAAAGTAATTTGTCTTTATTCATCTTAAATAGTACGTGTATATCACATAGTAATTGGTTAAACCGTTAAGATGTTAAGAGTAACAAACAGATAACAAATAAAAGTCACTTTCATATTTATAATATTAGCAAGGATGCCTAAATACTTATATTTTTTCATATAGAAATATCGTATACAATAGCTATGATTTTTAGAATAAAAGCTAAATATTTTTATTCGACTAATTAGTCATTTCGTAATTTAAAGATACCTAACAATTTTATAATATTGTATCTTTGTACATAAGAGTATGTATATGTATTAAAAATATGTACATTTATATTTACATTATTACACCTTTATATATGTTTAAAAACGACTAGAATTCTTATCATGTCTCCAACTAAACTAATTATGATTACTACTCTCTATTCAAAGATTGTCTGGAAGAGATCGCTTCTTGAGATAAGGCCGCCCATTGTTTTATCTGTGTGATCTTTTTTTTGTAATTTTATGTATTTTACCTATCTATATTTAGTTTTAATTCCTCGGATATTTCTCTTGAATTAAGGAATTCTAAGGGTTGGAGATTTTTAGAGACTTAAATCTAGAGTATGTAGTAGATATTTTTATTAGTGTCACTTTATTCTCAAGTTTTTATCATATTACTAATAATATAAATATGTTTGTGAAGACATTTAGATATTTATTAGTCAGTTTACTAGGCTCCACACCAAATCTTAACTAGGTAATTTCGAGTGTAAATCCTTATATAGATATTTGATCCATCATCATTTATAATTTGTCTCAATCATACACTTTATTTCTGGAAAGCTTTGACTCTTACTTATATAGTAATATTTATATTAGGAAGAGTAAAAATTACGGACGAGCGCAGTTGCACTAAATACGACTTAGTTTTTTGTGATCGATCTGATAGAGTTTATTACCTACCTCCTATTACAATCTAGTTCAGGCACATAGCATATGAAACGTATAGCATATTGAAGTTACGTTACAATTTGATTATATGCGAAGTAGTCTAGGACATGTAATTTGACTACGCATAAACAAGCATGTAGATTACGATAAATAAAAAAAATATATATAAAAATTTTAAAATTGTTTTCTATAACATAATTAAGAGATAATTTATAAACGTAATATATATCAAATATATGCTATTATGCTATGCTGTTGAAGACTATTGCGATTAAAATGTATTTCAAATATAATAAAATAATTATAAGTTTGTTAACGCTCTATGTTTACACGACAAAGAAGTTCGGAAACTGCGGTTGCTAACTTTACTGATGGGTAGAACATGTGGTTAGTCTGAGTAGGTACGAGTACTATCCTTGTATTACCTATTTCGTAATAATTCATAGTAATGTTTTATGAAAGTACCTTCTGCCGTAAATCGATAGCTTTTACCTTTAATAGATGTAGAGACTTTATTAATGTAATTGTTATTTATTTTCAACATAAGTTGCTTGATTTGAAGTATATTACAAAAACATGATTATACTATATAATATACATTATATCTACAGGTTGAATATGAAATAGTTAGTACCTTTTTAAGGCAGTATTCCACTAATGAAACTGGACATTTACAGTAAAGAAGCATCAGTCAATAAATGACAAAAATTTTTAAACTCATACTAACACGGTGTCCAGCTGTTAACTTATTCGTAAGATGGGAGGCTAAAAATTATTGTTGTTCTTGAATTTTGGCTTCATGAAATTTCGACCTTAATATTTTCTATAGCATTCGTATTTTATTATTTATGACTAACGATTTTTATTTCAACCTATATATGTGGTAGTATAATAATAGTGTCTGCAGCTTAGATTATGGAACCTACACAACACTATTGTACTTTTCGAAAATTTACAGCATATGTATGTGTATTGTATTTGTGTTCATTGAACTGGTCGATAAACTCGGGCGGGCACAATCACTGGATTGAGTTCCACCATCTACAAATCCTTTCCACGGGACAATTTCTACCCGATAATAGTATTGGAAGTGATTGAAATAAAGAAACAAAGAAAATTTTCTATCGGGAAAATGATATCAAACTGTCTACTTGATTGTCTACTTGTACTACAGATGTCAACTTGACGCAATCCTTCAATTTAGGGATTAGACAGTAATAAAAGTAATTTACAACTCAATATTGATATACATTGGTTACTAAAGCCGGCAGCACACCTGCAATGTCTCTGGTATTGTGGCTTATGGACGGCGGTAGTCACTTATTATTAGGTGAGCTGCATGTTTGCCTCCTGTTTTATAAAAAAATACCAACATCCGCACAATTGTAGCGATTACAAAATGCTTAGTAGTAGTATTCTTCATATATTTTCAAAATTTATACTTTTTTATTAATATAATAAAGTTTATGTAGATTCTGAACTTACATTTAGATAAATTTTAATATGGCAATAATCTCAATCTAAATAAAATATCGATAAATATATCGATCGCAATAACTTAATCACTAAGCATGATTTTAGAACAATTTTGGCATGCAAATATAGAATTCTTTCAAAATTCAATTAAAAATAGAATTCAGAGTAATAATAAATG